CAGTCAATCATAATCCAGAATTTCGATGTGTAATTTGCACTGGTGTTACATTTTTTGCACTGATGTTACACTTGAACTGCACTGCTCTTAGCCAATCAGAATCGAGTGATTTTTTCATGTGTATCATTATCAAAGTTAACAAGTTGTTTTCCTTTTTTTCGTTGGGGTGTTTTCTAAAAGAAAAAGAAAACATATTCTCCGTGTTTCTATCAAGTTATAGAAACACTCGTGAAAGTTTGGGAGATTTCGAAAAAGCTGTGAAAACACTCAGCTGCGGCTCGTGTTCTCACAGCATTTCCCGTTCTCCCAAACTTCTACTCGTTCGTAATATAGAACCACGTCCAACTCGAATTTACACAGAAACTGACACTTTGATTTGAGCCCCCAGCCCTACTCGGAGTGGGCTTTAATTGGTCAGCTGGATCACAGTGTGGGTTGAATGGGGGGGGGAGGGTGTGGAGGTAGCGCTCACCATGTAACTCTCAATTGTCAAAGCTACGAGAATGAAACTTGGGGAGTTTATAGAACGTCCGAACGTATTTTCTTTGAGGTCCATAACATGAAACGATGACCTCATTAGACGTAGATATGACGCCATCATTTCCAAACAATCACTACCTTGGATCCAATATCTTCTATTTAGTGATTTTAGGGGAAAAAAAAACCTCCACAAACCGAAAAAAATAGCTAGAAAACTGACACGCGACCGATAAAAAAGAAAAAAAAACACAAGCCAAAACAGGAAAATTTGCTGCAAGAAAGTTGTATATACTAGTTGAACACTCTTTCAACTGGCCTACCGATGACTCGTTGTGTGCACCTTGACAACTGAAAGGCTCTACATTGTGAAATACATAGATTTAAATTATATTACTGACAGAATAAAAAGGTAAGCGTATTCAAATACTCGAGTATGCAACACACAGTTCCATTAACCATTGTCTAAAAGATATCATACCACTTTAACTTCCAGTCAGAACATTTCTCTCATACCTTGATCTTGCCGTTATCTTTATGATCATCACTCTTCCACACACATTGTTTCCAGCTGGTTTGTGGCACTGCACTAGAAGGACTTGTCACGCTTTCTCCTTTCTCTCCCTTATCGCCTTTTATTCCTTGATCTCCCACAGTTCCTCGCGTTCCTTTTATTCCCATCATTCCTGGCGGTCCGCTCTTCCCACGAGGCTCTTCATTTCCTTTCTCTCCCTTTTGTCTGAGCATTCCTTGCACCCCCTTGTCACCAGTCTGTCCTTTGACTTCATCTCTTCCCTGCGGTCCTTGCGGCCCCGGAATGCCAGGGATTCCCGGCATGCCATTAGATCCTGGAATACCTGGAAATCCATGGGTAGATATGGATTTCTAACAAGAAAGCAAAAGATGCATTGATTGCACACAGAGTAAAACTTAACCTGAAAAATAGTTCCTTATGTCTATACCTATCGTGGCAGGAAAACTCGAAGTGGCTGTGAGCCTGTGAGCTTGAAAGATAAATTATGAAAGGGTGTTATGAGCCATTGCTCATTAAGGAACTGCTAGTGATGTGAGGGCAGTTTAGCTTTCGGACAAGCCCATAAAGCCTTTTTCCATTCAGGAGTGTGTTGTGATATTTGCAAAATGAAAAAGTCCAACGCCAAGAAACTGTTTGTTGCTCAGGCCTGGCTACACGTTTCACATTACATTTATCTGTACAAGTCTTCCTTGCGCTACAATCAAAAACGGCAAGATCATTTTGTTAGGTCAAAGTGAGGTATAGACTGAACGAAACACTTCAGCCTGCGGTACGTAAATAAATAATTAATACTTTCGCCCTACGGTAACTGATGTACAAGTAGCGTAGTGAGATAAACGCTGGCTTGCCATGACAGACAATGGGATTTCGCATCCTAATTGTAACTAATGATTACTTTTCCTTTTCGTCTCCATTGATTTTTCTTTTTCTGTCAAGAAACCATTTACCAAAGGGTAACGTTTGTCTTTCCGTTTCTTGTGTTAAAAAAATTGTCTGGAGCCTTTAATCATTCGTTTATATCGATTACTTTCGAACTCACAATATCACGTAGTTTGTGACGGAAAAACCACGAAGACTTTCCCTGAATCGGATCGTTAAGCAAGAACCATGAGTATTTTCCTTACAATGAAAAAATCGTTATACCCTCTACCTTTCGAAAATAACTAACGTGCCACGCTGCAAGCGACTGTAAAACGGCCTTAGACGGCTGATGTTCANGGGGGGGGGGGGACTCCTATATGAAAAGGTCGGGGATGCTCGTCATCTCGGGTACAAATCAAGGATTCTGGTGTCACTTAGGGTGTTGATGACGAAACGTCACCATTTTTAACTGTCAAATTATTTTTTAGGGTGCACTCGAGGAAATAATAATAAAAGAAACGCTCTCATTTAATTTCTGTTTTCAGGCTTGATT